ATGGTCTTGTTGGCAGGGGGGCTGATGTGGGTAGGGTGCGGGGCTCCTGGCTTGATGGCAGGGAGAGAATGAGGTGGAGGTAAGGGTTAGGCCCTTCCTTGCATGGGAACCCTCAAAATACTGAGCAGCCTTGGAGGCCGAGGTCTACCACTACGAGTAGGCGCTGGCTGGGAGCTGCAGTGGGGCTCTGTGGGTGCCCACGCTGCACGGTTACCCCGTGAATGTCAGGGTCGGGGTTTCAGAAGGTCCGGGAAGGGCCCCTGTGCAGGGGAAGTTGGGGGCCCTCAGCACCAGGTTTCCTGTGTTTCGGCGATAGCTACTGGCCTGAGGGTTTGGTGTCTTTTGTCTGTGTCCCTGAGTCCCCGGAAGAAGAAGCATTCCTCCCAGGAGGTAGCAATTTTCTCATCAGCTTTTTTTTTTTTTTAATATTCATTTATTTATTTGAGAGGCAGAGTTACAGAGAGAGAGGTCTTCCATCCGCTAGCCCACTCCCCAGGTGGCTGCAGTGGCTGGAGCTGGACCAGTCTGAAGCCAGGAGCTAGAAATTTCCTCCAAGTCCCACATGAGACGCAGGGGCTCCATCACCTGGGCCGTCTTCCGTTGCCTTCACAGGCTGACAGCAGGGAGCCAGATTAGAAGTGGAGCAGTGGGATTGGAAGTGGCTCCCATGTGGGGTGCTGGTACAGGAGGAGGCTTAACCTACTTCGCCACGACGCCAGCCCCTCCCATATGCTTTAATCTCCTGGTAATGAATGCTGGCCTTGGAAGGTCACTGTGGTGTGTGGGGAGGCCTGTGGGTGCTGTGTCCCTGTGCCCGTCAGTGCGGCCAGCCTGCCTGGATGGGGATCCTCCTCCCTCCCTGGAGTTTGTAACTTTTTTGTTTTTCCAGGGTGATTCCGGAGGCCCTCTGGTCTGTGAATTAAGGAAGACATGGTTTCAGGTGGGGATTGTGAGCTGGGGTGTCAACTGTGGTGCTGCCCCTGTTCCTGCAGTTTACACGCAGGTTAGTGAGTACCGGGAGTGGATAAAAACCATCGTAAGTCAGGCTCTGTGCGTGCATTCCGTGGGCATCTGCCTAGTGCTCCTGGGCCTGGTGCTGCTGCTGGCCGTGCCAGTGACCCGGTGACCTCCTCTGCCCACTCCCCCCTGCTTCCCAGCCCCCACTTCCGTGTCCCCCAGCCCCCAGCATCCTCCCCTTCCTTCTCGGTGTCCTTGCCTCAAGCTCAGGTCGGCAGCCATGGGCTCTGTGGAGATCACACAGCACCGTGTGCACGGACACCAGGTCCCGCTGGCTGCCTCTGCTGGTGACCTGGTGACCTGGTCTCCTGCCGGGCCGGGCTGCCCTGGCTGCGCTCTGCCTGCTGGGCAGGAAGGGGTGAAGTGATGCTGCCGAGAAGACGGCTCCCCTGCCCGGTGGAGCCGCTGACCGCCTGCCGTCCTGGGGAGCGTCTGGCATGAGCAGAGGTGTCACCAGGAGTGAGCCAAGCCCCAGACGTGGCTCCGGTTCTGGGCTCTCACCCGAGACTTTGTCAGGCGGTCAGCGTGGGCTGCTCGGATGGAGTGAAGCAGGCACTGCCAGATCCGTGCAGATGCGTGGGGCCTGAGCTCTGCCTCTGGCTCAGCTGTCTGGGGCTGGAGAAGTCCCCTGCCCCCAGCGGGGACCCACCGTCACGGAGAGGCTCAGCCTCCCAGGCCGTCTCGGGGCACCCCTTCCTCAGGGCCCCAGTGCTACATCCAGGGACGCCCCAGGTTTTGTTGAGGCATCGCATATTGTAGAGGCCGCAGATGTCAGCTGAATAAATGCTTGCAGAGTGTCCCGTGTGTTCCGAGGCTCAGCTCGTCTGGGCAGGTTGGTGCATCCATCGTGCTCCATAGAGAGCGAGCTCCCGCTTAGCTTGGGAAGATGTGCTTGGTCCTCGTTACGTTGGAAGACCCATGTTGAGGAGCTGTGCGGTCGGACACGTGACCATAGGTGGCGCCACCACAGCCTGTGTCCTATTTCAGCTGTCAGTCTCTAAGCTTCCTCTGCAGTGAGGAGCAGGGCAGGAGGGGGGCAGAGGTAGGGGTGTGGCACACTGAAGTGCTCTCCTACGTCCCCTGCTGCTCTGTTACTGCTGTGCTGTGAGCGGGCACTGTGGGCTATGGGCTGAGTAAGTACAGGGAGGAGAGTTGGTGGACATGACCCAGTGTGTTTGAGAGACAGAATGGGTTCTGCTTCTCAGCGCCCTACTAGTGTCTCAGAGCACTGGTTGGCTGCCAGCAATCCAAGCCTTTGTCACTTGACCTCACATTGGTCTAACTCATTGCCAGACGCTCTAGTTATGAGAGGCCCCTGCTGGGCAGTCTATGGTAGTCCAACCTGCTGCCTAAAGTACTTAACTGTCGCTGAAATACTTAATGGTTGCTAAGTGCAAGAAGCCTATAGTAGGCCTATGGAGGATACTAAGGGAACCAAAAATTCATGGACCAACCAAATTAAAGTGGAAAATAAAAAATGCAAGCTTTATTTCTGAGCATAAAGTCCATGAAGTTTAACAGAATTTTGTAAGCAGTGGTGAGTGCCACTTAATCTATCCCCAAAGAATTGAAGTCTTGGGATTTTAACCGAGTGAATACCATGTTCTCACATTTGTAATGGAAGAAATATGAGTGCCCCCTTTCCCTTTTTTTAAATTCAGAGTTACAGAGAGAGAGAAAGGTCTTCCATCCACTGGTTCATTCCCCAGATGGCTGCAATGCTAGAGCTGTGCCAATCTAAAGCCAGGAGCCAGGAGCCTCCCCCAGGTATCCCACATGGATGCAGGGGCCCGAGGACTGGGGCCATCTTCCACTGCTTTCCCAGGCCATAGCAGAGAGCTGGATCGGAAGTAGAGCAGCCAGGACTTGAACCGGCTCCCGTATGGGATACTGGCACTGTAGGCAGTGGCTCTACCCGCTACACCACAGCGTCTGCCCCATATGGGTGCCCTTTAAGAATGTTTTATGACTAGGAAGCAAAAAGAAGTCAGAAGGAGCCATATCAAGACTATATGTTGGATGCCACATGATTTTCCATCAAAACTCTTGCAAAACTGTCCTTGCTTGATGGGAGGAACAATAAGAAGCACAGTTGTGGAGAAGAATCTGGAGGAGCTAGCGTTGGCTAACCTTCTCAAAAACACTTTCCCAGTAATCAGATGGTCTCATTGTTTATCGGTTAGAAAGTCAACAAGCAAAATTCCTTAAACCAAATATTAACTGTTGCTGTGGCATTGACGCTGGCCAGTCCGCCTTTGCTTTGACTGGCGCACCTCTGCCTCTCGGTAGCTGTTGCTTTCATTGTGCTTTGTCTTCAGCATCATCCTGGGAAAGCTGTGCTTCATGTGTTCTCACAGTGGTTTGAAGAAATGCTCCAGGGCCTGGATCCTGCCTATGTAGATTGTCTATCAAAACTGTACTCTTCTGCGGCTGATCTGGGTGCAACAGAGTTGGCATCCGTGAGCAGGGGTTTGTGCAGGTTTAATTTTTCAGTCAGCATTTTGTAAACTGAACCATAGATGTCCATAGTGTCTGCTTTGTTGCTGCTGTTAATTGCCAGTCCTCTGCAATTAGAATGTGAAGCACATTAATTTTTCCCTCACAAATTGATGTCATGGTCTGCTGTTCCAGGCTTTATCTTGAACATCATCTCCTCCCTTCTTGATATGTGATCTCCATTCCTGAGCTGCTGTTTTATTCGGGACCTTTTGCCCCTAGAGTCCGTATAAGACAGGACGATGTCACCGTTCTCCTGCCCCAGCTTCACTGTGTGTTTATGTTTGCTTCAGTTTTGGTTGGATTCGTGTTGCTGTGTAAGTGCTCACTCTGGACTGGTGTCTGATCCTTTTCAGTGTCTCCAAGTAGAACAAGTCAGTATGAATCTGTGTTGTTGCAAGAAATTTTTGAAATCCGTGCACAGTTGTTTCAAATTCTGGATTTTCTCTGGAGCTTCTGAGGACCCTGGATAGGTCTGGTAGACACGTTTCACCCAGGCATGGGTTAAAGAGCTGTTGGTGTGGCTGGCATGGCGCAGCGTGTTGAGCCATTGTCTGTATTGCCAGCATCCCACACAGCACCAGTTGGTGTCCTGGCTGCTCCAGTTCTGGTCCAGCTCCCTGCTAGGGAACCTGGGAGGCAGCAGAGGATGGCTCAAGTCCTTGGGCTCCTGTACCCATGTGGGAGGCTTGAATGGAGTTCTAGGCTCCTGGCATCAGACTGGCCCAACCCTGGCTGTTGTGGCTATTGGAGGAGTGAACTGGCAGATGGAAGATCTCTATGTCTCCCTCTCTCTTTGTAACTCTGACTTTCAAATAAATAAATCTAAAAAATAAATTTAAAAAGGAGCTACTGGCTATGAGTTCAGTGATGCAACACAGTATATTGAATGAGGTTTCTTTAGACAGGATCTTTGCTGATTGTTTTTGAGAATATTTTGACCAGAGGCTCATAGGCACCTGATCCTGTATTCCCACTAGGGACAGAGTCTCTGTATTTGCTAATTCAGTGTGTGATGACTTTGTAAGTCATAATTTCTGTGAATTTGAAGATTCAGCTGTGTTTCTCACAGTTGTGTTGGTTAGTTGGGCAGTTGTGCTGTTCAAGTCTGAACTCATCCCTCAGGCGACATGTGAGGAGTGGCTCTTCCTGGGCTAGGATGTCCTAAGATGGCCTTGCTCACCTGGAGGGTGGTGATGGGGAGAATGGGTAGGCGTCCTCCAATTCCCTCCAAGGGCTCTCATTCTCCAGTAGTCTAGAACAAGTAGACTCTGGATCAAGGTATTCAAGTGTTATGGCAGAAGCTATACTGTTTCTTAATGCTAAAGTCAGAAATGGTACAGCCTATCTTCTACCACAGTTGGTAAGTTAGAGAAGTTTAGCAAGACAGCTCCTAATCAGTGGGGACGGGGAAATAAGTTGTATTTCATGATGAATTCAAACTTTTATTTAATGAGTATAAATTTCCAAAGTACAGCTTATGGATTACAATAACTACAAGGTTTTGAAACCTACACACTAAGTTTAACTCCAGCCTGTCAAAGATTTCCAGCTAAGAAGGATGAGAGACAGATAAAGGTAGATCACTATTTTCAACCTACAATGAATTTGAGGATCTAGGCCAATGTCATCAACAGCTGATACCTTCTCCAAAAGGAATCATCTAGCCATTAGTGTCTTGCAGTAACAGAATGTGCCACCTGCTATCTTATTGACTAAGAATTTAATCTGAGTCCTGCCATCAGTCTGCAGGAAATACAGAAGACAGAGGAATTTATTTAAAGGTGCATGATGCATTGGTGAAGTGTAGACAAAGGGAGACTCTCCTAGAGAAAACAACCCAGTTCTTCACAGGTGAACTTTATGAAGAAAGATGGAAAAGTATAAGTGAGTCTCTGTAAAGCTGTGTGATGACGGCGGTCATGCAGGGGTGCAGTGTGGCGTCGGGGAAGCAGCTTGGAGTGGTCAACCCATGAAAGCATACGAGGAAGGAGCCACAGAACTGAGACTGATGGTGGCACGAGAGGGTGGAGGGCAGCTGTGTGTAGGGAGACCCCGGGCCCTGCAGAGGGCCAGCAGAGGTGCATTTGTTGAGCTGGGTTGTCGGCATGGGGATGGTCCCTCTGTGATGCTGACGTCAGCTGCATAGCTGTTCTGGGTGGTGTTGGGAGCACTTTTCCTTTACCAGACGTGAGCCTGCAAACAGCCATGTAGAACCCATGAGTGAAATGGTGTGGTGTGAAGCTTTGTGGGGCGGGGAGGTGTTTCCACTGCAGCCCGAGAGGTTAATCACGTATTCGAAGTCCCATCTTTCACAGCATAACCTAGACGGGTTATGGATCTCCTAAGGGGGATCGGGATCAGGAATCCTGGGAGAGCAGCGTTCCCTTGACCCCTGACCCCACGTTCCCGCCAACACGAGTGCAGGGGCGCGCGCCGCCGCCAGGGGGCGCAAAGGAGTGTGTGGCGGTGCCTGTGGCAGTGTCAATGGCGTCCCTAGAGGGTCCCCGCGGGGGCTTCTTCCTGGGCCTCCTGCTGTGGCTCCAGCTGGCTCAGCCCGTGCTCAGTGAGGCTCTGGGTGGGCGGGGAGAGGACGTGGCTGGGCCGGGCGGCGCACAGGGCCGGGGACGCGGAAAGTGGTGGGAGTGTGGCGGGCACCACAAGCCAGGAGGAGGAGGAGGAGGCCGAGGGGGCGCCGGGCTCTCCTGCCTTCCTCGCTGGACTGTTCTTCTGCAGGTGGGGGTTACCGAAACAACGATGCTTCTGGGGTGACCGTGCTGAGCCCAGAGCCCCCGGGACCCCTGGCACCACGAAAATCCGTGAGGATCCCGGAAGTCACTGCAGCTCCGGGGTCTCCAGCGCCGGCAGGGCCTGCGGGACCCCGGGTCAGGTCAGCACCCACAGGGCGACAGGACTTGGAGCAGGCTGGGACGTCTCCAGCTGTGGAGCTGTTTCCTCGAGGTACTGCATGGGGCCGGGTCTGCAGGGGCTGAGCCTGGCTGGGAAGTTTGTGAGGGCTGAGCCTGTGGTGCGGGGTTTGAGAGAGATGGGAGCTCCCTGAGGGTAACCTGCTGTGCCCTGAGCGGCCCGGGTGGAGATGGTGGTGTGGGGGCGGTGGCTTCATTTCCAGTGCCCTCTCTACCGAGCCAATCAGCGTGCGGCAATAGAACTGTGAAGGTAGTTGGTGGAGTGCCAGCCCCCGAGAGAAAGTGGCCGTGGCAGGTGAGCCTGGAGGCTGATAACAGGCACGTGTGCGGTGGCTCCCTCATCTCCAGCCAGTGGGTCCTGACGGCAGCCCACTGCATATTTGGGTGAGTGGGGTGCAGAGTGAGGGCCCAAAATTTGTTTTTGACCGGGAGCCAAGTATATTCCCCTGCTTGAGTTCCCACTTGTATGTGTGAAAACAGGGGTGATGGCCCCATAGCTGTTGTCTACTTGGAGTGTGACCTGAGGATTGGCATTTCTCGAAGGTCCCCTGGTGGTGTTAGGAGGGGCTGTGGTTTGCAGGGAGTGGTGGCTGCTGGCTGGCATGGGAAGGTGGGACCAGGCTGAGAAGCACTCACGCATGTGGAAGGGGCATGTGCAGACCCTCCAGGAGCTCTTGGAAGGCTTTCTCCTTTGCCTACAGTGAAAGGGACTACAGAGTGAAGCTGGGAACACCGAAGGTGTTCTCTTCGGACCCAAATGCTGTGGTGGTTCCTGTGAAAGACATCGTCATCCATCAGGAGTACGATATTATCTCTTTGACGCATGACATTGCACTTGCTGTGCTGGCCTACTCCGTGAATTTCTCTTCGTACATCCAGCCTGTGTGCTTAGCAGAGAAGCTGATGGAAGTGAAAGCTGGGACCCGGTGCTGGGTCACGGGATGGGGCCGAACAATAGGAATAAGTATGACTCAGGGGCAGGATGTGGTGGGGCAGCCTGGTGGCCTGGGTCAGCTCCAGCCCCAGGCAGGGGAAAGGGGGCGATAGGTGAGCGGGTGGGTGGGGTGGGGAGCAGATGCTGCAGGGGGTCTTCTGCAGCTGGTTGAGATTCCTGTTGCTGTACAGGACCTTGGGTGTGGGCACCGGGTATGGTGGGTTCTCTCCAGGGGGATTCCAGCTCGGGGGTGAGGGCTGTGTGCCCTATGGAGCTGCCCCTCACTAGAAGTACCTGCCCCGGTGGGGTGGGCTGTGTGTCCCCAGGTGGGAGGTAGAAGGCAGAGCCACCCTGCCTGTGGGCTGCAGGGCCGCCTCTCCTTAGAGAAAGGCTGGGTGTGGTCCTCTTCAGGCAGTGCCTGTGTGAGAGTCGGATGCTGTTCTAGAAGGGAAAGATGCTCTGCTGACGTCAGGGCTGTCAGATCAGCACTGATGCTTGGAGTGAAGAGGCTTGATCATCCTTTCTTTTAAAGATTTATTTGTTTGTTTGAAATACAGAGTTAAAGAAAGAAGGAGAGACAGAGGGAGAGAGAGATCTTCGTTCCTTTTTTTCAATCCCCTTTCTGCCTGAGTCCCCCAGACTGGGCCAGGCCAAAGCCAGGAGTCAGGAGCTTATTCTGGGTCTCCCACATTGGTGCCCAGGGCCTAAATACTGGGGCCATGTTCCTCTCCTTTTCACAAGCCATTAGCAGGGAGCTGGAAAAGAAGTAGAGCAGCTGGGATATGAACCGGCATCCAGATGGGATGCTGCTGTCCTAGGCAGTTTTTGCCTGCTGCACCACAGTGCTGGCCCTGGGCATCCTTTCTCAGGCCGGCAAGGCCTTGCCTCAGTCCTGTGCCTGGTCTTCCTTCTGTGGTCTTGGTTGTGTTCCTATCCCTGCACTCTTGATGACACACCGGACGTAAGTTTCCTTCTGTGTTAAATGGGGATGCTCACTGTCCTGCCTTGCTGTATGGGGCGTGTGTGTGAACACACTGGTCAGGGACCCCCGAGGACGCCTCTACAGTTCCCGAGCTGCAGATCCACTGACTTGTCAATCATCTCATCGTAGGGTCATCACCGAAACCAGATGACCTTCAAGAGCTGGAACAAGACATCATTCTCTATGATGACTGTGATAAGAGATTCAAGAAAGCTCTGGGACGCTTTCGAGTGTTCGTGCGAAAAGGGATGATCTGTGGCTACCTACACGAGGGCAAAAGTCCATGCTGGGTCAGTCCGTGTGTGATTTGCTTGTCCCTCTTCCCTAGGGCCATGGCTTAGTTGGTGGCATCTCCCCTACTCACCCCTCGGTTAAGGAGAATCATGGCAGAAACCTGCCCTGTCTCCGGGAGTTGCCAGTTGTGTTCCTCCCCTAGGGAGCAGCCTTTGCTGCCTGAGGGCCCTGTGGGTGGGTGGGCAGTGGGGCGGGCAATGCTGATGCCCACTTGTGTGCAGTGAGATCCCTGATGTGGCCATCACCATGCAGCATGAGCATTAACCCTGTTATCAGTTAACCAAAAACAACCCTGCAGCCCAGACATCAGAAACCATTGTACCCATGGGGAAGGTGAGATCCAGGATGAGGTTCAGGGTCTTCCTGTAGTGTCTGTGGGACCCCAGGCTCACACGCTGCCCTCGGCCCAGCGACTCTGCGAAGGCAGCACTTGAGTAGGCTCTTAGAGGAGGGGGGTCTGGTTTCTTGGCTAGAGAATGGCCCAGCAGGGACGGGGGCCGGTGTGGACAGAGGCTCAGAGTTCTGTGGGAGCATCGCTTTTCTAGGGAGCCTTTTACTCATGGCGGGCAACGAGGTGGCCAACGAGGCCTGAGGAGGTGGGTTGCGGTGGGAGGTGGTTGCAGCCTGCAGAGCCGAGTCCGGGTTTGCAGTTTCGTTCTGCAGGATGCACAGGTGGGGCCGGGTAGGCGCGTTCAGGGCGACCTTGCAGAGCAGTGGCTGCCTTAGAGGGGCGCCAGGGGCTGCCGTCCAGGAGCTCGTTGTCATCGTGGCGCAGTGACGGGCAGTGCAGGCTGGGCTGTGCTCCAGGCTGACAGTGGCGGCCTGCGGGGGAGAGGACGGGGTGCGGGAGAGGCGGAGGGAGGCCCTGGTTTTCTCCTGGAGGGGTTTGCCGGTGAGACCGAGGGCCAGCTTTGGGGAGGGACAGGCAGAGTTGTGCTGGAGGAGGGGGCTGGGCAGGGGTCAGGGTCTTGGCGGCAGGGGGGCTGATGTGGGGAGGGTGCGGGGCTCCTGGCTTGGTGGCAGGGAGAGAATGAGGTGGAGGTAAGGGTTAGGCCCTTCCTTGCATGGAGACCTGCAAAATACTGAGCAGCCTTGGAGCCTGAGGATGCCCGGTGAGAGTAGGCGCTGCCTGGGAGCCACAGTGGGGTTGGCTCTGCGGTCGTCCACGCTGCGTGGTTACCCCATGAGCGGCAGGGTCAGGGGTTGCAGAAGGTCTGGGAAAGGGCCCCCAGGCAAGGGAAGAGTGGGGCCCTCAGCGCCACGTTCTGTGTGTTTTGGGCATAACTACCTGCCTGAGGGTTTGGTGTCTCGTGTCCGTGTCCCTGAGCAGCAGGTAGGAGAAGCGTTCCTCCCAGGATGTTCAATTTCCCCACCAGCTTTAATCTCCAGTTACTGAATCCTGCACGTGGAGGGCCCCTGTGGTGTGTGGGGAAGCCCGATGTGCTGTATCCTTGTGCCCATCAGGGCAGCCAGCCTCCCTGGATGGGGATCCTCCTCCCTCCCTGGAATTTGTGTCTTTGTTTTTTTTCCAGGGTGATTCTGGAGGCCCTCTGGTCTGTGAATTCAACGAGACGTGGATTCAGGTGGGGATTGTGAGCTGGGGTGCTGACTGTGGTGCCACTCCCGTTCCTGCAGTTTACACGCAGGTTAGTGAGTACAGGGACTGGGTGGACACCATCGTAAGTCAGGCTCTGTGCGTGCATTCCGTGGGCATCTGCCTAGTGCTCCTGGGCCTGGTGCTGCTGCTGGGCATGCCGGTGACCCGGTGACCTCCTCTGCCCACTCCCTCCTGCTTCCCAGCCCCCACTTCCGTGTCCCCCAGCCCCCAGCATCCTCCCCTTCCTTCTCGGTGTCCTTGCCTCAAGCTCAGGTCGGCAGCCGTGGGCTCTGTGGAGATCACACAGCACCGTGTGCACGGACACCGGGTCCCGCCGGCTGCCTCTGCTGGTGACCTGGTGACCTGGTCTCCTGCGGGGCTGGGCTGCCCTGGCTGTGCTCTGCCTGCTGGGCAGGAAGGGGTGAAGTGATGCTGCCGAGAAGACGGCTCCCCTGCCCGGTGGAGCCGCTGACCGCCTGCCGTCCTGGGGAGCGTCTGGCATGAGCAGAGGCGTCACCAGGAGTGAGCCAAGCCCCAGACGTGGCTCCAGTTCCGGACTCTCACCCGAGACTTTGTCAGGCAGTCAGCGTGGGCTGCTCGGAGGGAGTGAAGCAGGCACTGCCAGATCCGTGCAGATGCGTGGGGCCTGAGCTCTGCCTCTGGCTCAGCTGTCTGGGGCTGGAGAAGTCCCCTGCCCCCCTGGGGACCCACCGTCACGGAGAGGCTCAGCCTCCCAGGCCGTCTCGGGGCACCCCTTCCTCAGGGCCCCAGTGCCACATCCAGGGACACCCCACCCCAAATGTATTGAGTGAGGCATTACGGAGTGTGGAGGCTTCAGATGTCATGAATAAATGTTTGGATAGCGTCTCCTGTTGCTTCTGAGCTCTGCTCCCCTGTGTGTCTTGGTTGCATGAACATACTCTGCAGAGAGCTTTCCTGTGTACTGGTGGGATACATTCCTGGTCTCCAATAGACTGTGGGAGATTAGAGATTAGGAGCTGCCTGCCCCCAGCCAAGTGACACGTGGCCCTAGGCGCTGGGTATGAGCTGCAGCCTGTGTCCTGTTTTAGCTGTCAGTGTCTCTAAGCTGGCAGGCTTGTTGCTGTGTTTAGCAGCTTCTGCAGTGAGGAGCAGGACAGCAGAGGGGACAGACGTAGGCTTTTCTTTGAGTCCCTGCCTCTGGATGCCTGGTCCTGTTCATTTCTGTTTCCATGCACCGTTTGTTCCTCAAGGTCTAGTTACAGTTCTCTAATAATTCTGAATCTCCCGACCTGCAACTGCAAGCTCCCTCAGAATAGGAATCTTGATCTACGAGAGAACTTCAAAAAGAGCATGGCCAATGCATTTATGAAACAATTCTGCGTGAATTTCAAAAAATGTGTTATACCCAAATCAATTTTAAAGCCATTTTTCTGAAAGTGTTTGAAGTCATCTCAGATTTGCTGAAAGAGGGAGTGAGTTCATGAATCCCTGATGCGTAAGTGGTTCTCACATGTTCCCTCACTCTCTGCTCCTACTCGCAAAGCTGTCTCAGTCAGGCTCTGTCCCCATTCCCTTCCAGGTTGCCTCAGAGGACAGAAAAGAGTGTTACAGGGTGGGAAGGTTCCAACCCCAGAGGTAGGAGAAGTTCAGGACTGCAGATGGGGTGCTGTTCGGTCTGCAAATGTTAGAGTGTGAGTCTTGCTAGAGGGACACAGAACCAGTTCCAGCTTCCTGGTCACTGGGGAGTGACCTCTGCTCACCAGGAAGCACAGGCACAGACCCCAGAGACCTGGACACCCAGGGCCAGGTGAATGTTAGCAGTCTTAGCAACAGAGCAAGGAAGCTTTCCCAGACTCCTGGGATTGTGACAGACTGACTCAGGACCCCACCGGAAGAGGCCCCCGTGTGAGGTGTGGAGTTCCAGCTCTGTCCCACAGGCAGAGATTCACATCACCCCGGCTCCTGGAAACATTGAGTCACATCCGCACCTGTTACAGAAAGTGCCCTGGGTGCAGGAATGGATTCCTTCTCCGGAGGTGCCCATGGTAACTGGTGTGCAGGCAAGTGAAGATCCAGTCTCTCCCTCAATGTAGGACAAGTTGGAAGGGACGCTTGTGGGACCCTCTGGGACCTCAGTGCCACTGCTTTGTGGCTCAGCTCCTCCCTCGCACACAGTGCCCTCTCCGAGTCGGAGTAGTCCTGGGAACCCCACTAAGACACTGCCTGGCAAGAGCTGGGACAACCCCGGCTTCAGGAAGCATCTCAGTGATGTGCTGTGCAGCAAGTCACCCAAGGTCAGGGCCAAAATCAACCCAGGCTGTTGTGCTTGAGCCGCCTTACTCCTTACTCCAGGATTCTTTTTTTTTTTTTTTTTTTTTTTTTTTTGACAGGCAGAGTGGACAGTGAGAGAGAGAGACAGAGAGAAAGGTCTTCCTTTGCCGTTGGTTCACCCTCCAATGGCCGCCGCAGCCAGTGCGCTGCGGCCGGCGCACCGCGCCGATCCGGTGGCAGGAGCCAGGAGCCAGGTGCTTTTCCTGGTCTCCCATGGGGTGCAGGGCCCAAGCACCTGGGCCATCCTCCACTGCACTCCCTGGCCACAGCAGAGGGCTGGCCTGGAAGAGGGGCAACCGGGACAGAATCCGACGCCCCGACCGGGACTAGAACCTGGTGTGCCGGCGCCGCTAGGTGGAGGATTAGCCTAGTGAGCCGCGGCGCCGGCCTTACTCCAGGATTCTTATTTGCGAATCCACTGCCTGGCTGAAATTTCCTTCCTTCCTTCCTTCCTTCCTTCTTTCCTTCCTTCCTTCCCTCCTCCCTCCCTCCCTCCCTCCCCCCCTCCCCTCCCTCCTTTCCTTTCCTTTCCTTTCCTTTCCGTTCCGTTCCGTTCCTTTCCTTTCCTTTCCTTTCCTTTTCTTTTCTTTCTTCTTTAAAAAAGATTCATTTTCATTTATTTGAAAGGCAGCGTTACAGAGAGAGCCAGCAAGCTTCCATCTGCTGGTTCACTCTCCCAATGACTAAAACAGCCAGGGCTTGGCCAGGCTGACGCCAGGAGCCAGGAACTCCATGGGTGTGAGGTCCAAGCACTTGTGCCTTTCTCTGTAGCTTTCCCAGGAGCTTTAGCAGGCAGCTGAAATGGAAGCAGAGCAGACTCACAGGCTATGGCTTAATCTGAAATTTTTTTAAACCCCAAATCAATAGTTCTTTTATGATCATTTGTGGACACACAGAGAGCAGTAGAAAAATTTGATGCTTTGTAGCATGGTTCCTAACTGAGTTGAGCCATGAGATGCTTTGCTGTCTTTCAGCTCTTATAAACAAGTGTCCTTTTCTGTCATCTCCTACTACTGTGTTTTTTATTGATTGTGCTTTTTTTTAAGTGAGTCTGAATAGTATGGCTGAAGTACTTAGTGTTGCTAAGTGCAAGAAGCCTATTAAAATACACCATGTAGAGTATACAAGGGGACTTGAAATATTTCTGAAACTATGGAATTAAAGATGAAAATTAAAATATAACTTTTATTTTTGATTATAAAGTACACCAAGTTCAAGAGAGTTTTTGTAAGCATTGATAGGTGCCATTTAGTCTGTTCTTGCGGAATTGAGGTACTAGAAATTTAACCAGGTAAATGCCACGTTTTCACATTTTTAATTGCAGAAAAATGCATGCCCTTTACAAATGTTTTATGATTAGTAAGAAAAAAGTCAGAAGGAGCCAAATCAGGACTAATTATTGAATGACACATGCTTTCTCATCAAAACTCATAAAATTATCCTTGTGTGGTGAGAGGAATGAGAAAAAGCCTGGTTGTGGTGGCAAAGGACATCCTGGGGGCAGTGTTTTCAGTATTTTTCTGCTACAGAGTCAGCTAACCTTTTTTTTTTTTTTAAGATTATTTATTTATTTGAAAGTCAGAGTTACACAGAGAGAGGAAAGGGAGAGAGAGAGAGAGAGAGAGAGAGAGAGAGAGGTCTTCCATCTGATGGTTCACTCCCCAGATGGCTGCAAATGGCTGGAGCTGTGCCTATCCGAAGCCAGGGGCAGGAGCTTCTTCTGGATCTCCCACGTGGGTGCAGGGGCCCAAGGACTTGGGCCATCTTCTACTGCTTTCCCAGGCCACAGCAGAGAGCTGGATCGGAAGTGGAGCAGCCAGGTCTCGAACTGGTGTCCATATGGGATGCCGGCATTGGAGGCGGCAGCTTAACCCGCCATGCCACAGCACTGACCCCATCTCCTCGCTTCTTGATATGTGTTCTCCATTCCTGAGCTGCTGTTTTATTCGGGACCTTTTGCCCCTAGAGTCCGTATAAGACAGGACGATGTCACCATTCTCCTGCCCCAGCTTCACTGTGTGTTTATGTTTGCTTCAGTTTTGGTTGGATTCATGTTGCAGTGTAAGTGCTCACTCTGGACTGGTGTCTGATCCTTTTCAGTGTCTCCAAGTAGAACAAGTCAGTATGAATCTGTGTTGTTGCAAGAAATTTTTGAAATCCGTGCACAGTTGTTTCGAATTCTGGATTTTCTCTGAAGCTTCTGAGGACCCTGGATAGGTCTGGTAGACACGTTTCACCCAGGCATGGGCTAAAGAGCTGTTGGTGTGGCTGGCATGGCGCAGCGTGTTGAGCCATTGTCTGCATTGCCAGCATCCCACACAGCACCAGTTGGTGTCCTGGCTGCTCCAGTTCTTGTCCAGCTCCCTGCTAGGGAACCTGGGAGGCAGCAGAGGATGGCTCAAGTCCTTGGGCTCCTGTACCCATGTGGGAGGCTTGAATGGAGTTCTAGGCTCCTGGCATCAGACTGGCCCAACCTTGGCTGTTGTAGCATTTGGGGAGTGAAGTGATGGGTGGAAGTTCTTTATCTCTGCCTCTCTTTTTCTAACTATGACTTTCAAATAAATTAATTAAAATAAATAAAATGAAGTGTTGTTTGCTATGAGTTCAATGATGCAGCAGAGTATATTAAATCAAGCTTCTTTAAACAAGAACACACAGAAACATAGGTTATTTGCTGATTGTTTTTTTTTTTTTTATTTTTTGACAGGCAGAGTGGACAGTGAGAGAGAGACAGAGAGAAAGGTCTTCCTTTTGCCGTTGGTTCACCCTCCAATGGCCGCCGCGGCCGGCGCGCTGCGGCCGGCGCACCGCGCTGATCCGATGGCAGGAGCCAGGAGCCAGGTGCTTTTCCTGGTCTCCCATGGGGTGCAGGGCCCAAGCACCTGGGCCATCCTCTACTGCACTCCTGGGCCACAGCAGAGAGCTGGCCTGGAAGAGGGGCAACCGGGACAGAATCCGGCACCCCAACCGGGACTAGAACCCGGTGTGCCGGCGCCGCTAGGCGGAGGATTAGCCTAGTGAGCCGCGGCGCCGGCCAATTTGCTGATTGTTTTTGAGAATATTTTGACCAGAGGCTCATAGGCACCTGATCCTGTATTCCCACTAGGGACAGAGTCTCTGTAATTGCTAATTCAGTGTGCATGATGACTTTATAAGTCATAATTTCAGCTGTGTTTCTCACAGTTGTGTTGGTTAGTTGGGCAGTTGTGCTGTTCAAGTCTGAGCTCATCCCTCAGGCGACATGTGAGGAGCGGCTCTTCCTGGGCTAGGATGTCCTAAGATGGCCTTGCTTACCTGAAGGCTGGTGATGGGGAGAATGGGTAGGCGTCCTCCAATTCCCTCCAAGGGCTTCTCATTGTAGAGCTAGAGCAGGTGGACTCTGGACTCAGGTATTCTAATAGCATGAAAGTAGATGCTAAACTGCCTCTTTCTGCCAACTTCAGAAGGTGTACAGCCTTCCTTTATCACATCCTGTTGGTCAGAGATGGTCATAAGGACAGCTGGGTTGGGAAGCAAGTTCTACTCTGGTAAATGTGGAGGGAAAATATTGTGACCTCATATTATAAATCTGTAGTAAGAGTAGTAACTGCAAGGTATTGAAACTCATACAATATGTTTAACTCCAACATTTTTGTAAAAGTTTTCCTCACAAGGGAGAGAGAACCATACAAATAGAATAACAGTGTTTTCAACTCCTAATAAATTTGAGGATCTAGGCCAATGTCATCATCAGCTGGTAACTTCTCCTCCAAAAGCAGACATGCAGATCTTGAGTCTCCTGGAAAAAGAATGCACACCCTGCAATCTTGTTGATCAGAGTACTGAACCTGGGTCCAGCTGTCAGCTTGCAGGATGGAGAGAAGACAGGGAACTTGTAGAAGAGCAGTTGACAAAGTGTTGACTGGGAGACTCTGATGGTGAGACAAGCCAGTTCTTCACAGGTGAACTTCATGAAGAAAGATGGAAAAGTATAAAAGTGAGTCTGTCAAGATGTGTGATGATGGCATTCATGTAGGGTACAGTGTGGCATTGGGGAAGCAGCTTGGAGTGGTCAACCCATGAAGGCACATGAGGAAGGAGCCACAGAACTGAGACTGATGGTGGCACGAGAGGGTGGAGGGCAGCTGTGTGTAGGGAGACCCCGGGCCCTGCAGAGGGCCAGCAGAGGTGCATTTGTTGAGCTGGGTTGTCGGCACAGGGATGGTCCCTCTGTGAGGCTGACTTCAGCTACATGAATGTTCTGGGTGGTGTTGGGAGCACTTTTCCTTTACCAGACGTGAGCCTGCAAACAGCCATGTAGAACCCATGAGTGAAATGGTGTGGTGTGAAGCTTCGTGGGGCGGGGAGGTGTTTCCACTGCAGCCCGTGAGGTTAATCACGTATTCGAAGTCCCATCTTTCATAGCATAACCTAGACGGGTTATGGATCTCCTAAGGGGGATCGGGATCAGGAATCCTGGGAGAGCAGCGTTCCCTTGACCCCTGACCCCACGTTCCCGCCAACACGAGTGCAGGGGCGCGCGCCGCCGCCAGGGGGCGCAAAGGAGTGTGTGGCGGTGCCTGTGGCAGTGCCCATGGCGTCCCTAGAGGGTCCCCGCAGGGGCTTCTTCCTGGGCCTCCTGCTGTGGCTCCAGCTGGCTCAGCCCGTGCTCAGTGAGGCTCTGGGTGGGCAGGGAGAGGACATGGCTGGGCCGGGCGGCGCACAGGGCTGGGGACGCAGAAAGTGGTGGGGATGGCGGTGGGGGTGCGGTGGGCACTGCAGGCCAGGAGGAAATGGAGGAGGAGGAGGCCGAGGGGCGCCGGGCTCTCCTGTCTTCCTCGCTGGACTGTTCTTCTGCAGGTGGGGGTTACCGAAACAACGAGGCTTCTGGGGTGACCGTGCTGAGCCCAGAGCCCCCGGGACCCCTGGCACCACGGAAATCTGTGAGGATCCCGGAAGTCACTGCAGCTCCGGTCAGGTCAGCACCCACAGGACAACAGGACTTGGAGCAGGCTGGGACGTCTCCAGCTGTGGAGCTGTTTCCTCGAGGTACTGCGTGGGGCCAGGTCTGTGGTGCGGGGTTGGAGAGATGGGAGCTCCCTGAGGGTAACCTGCTGTGCCCTGGGCGGCCTGGGCGGAAATGGCGGGGTGGGGGCGGCGGCTTCACGTCCAGTGCCCTCTCTACCGAGCCAATCAGCGTGCGGCAATAGAACCATGAAGATAGTGGGTGGAGCGCCGGCCCCTGAGAGGAGGTGGCCCTGGCAGGTGAGCCTGCAGTCAAAGGGTGACCACGTGTGCGGAGGCTCTCTCATCTCCAGCCGGTGGGTCCTGACTGCCGCCCACTGCATATTAGGGTGAGTATGTGGGGCTGGGCCCGTGGGTGCTGATCATTTTCATGAGTGGTCCCAGTGTTATTCCTGATGGAGGCTTCCTCTTCTCATCTGAAACACGGGGTGGTGCCTATAGTTGTTCATCGGGGAGACCTCATGATTGGCATTGCCGCCAAGCCGCTGGTGGTACTGCCATTGGGCTGGGCCGATGGGCAAGAGTGGTCAGGGGTCCTGTGAGGGGATGTAGTTTGGGAGGATCTGGCTGACAGCTGGCATTGGGAGCTGGGGCCAGAACCGGGGTGGGTTGGGGGCACACGAGGAAGCACTGGGGTGTGTGGAGGGGAGTATGCAGCCACTCCGAGGTGTCTGTGAAGGCCACCTCCTTTTTCCACAGTTATGAGGACTACACGGTGAAGCTGGGAGGCCACAGCTTGCGCCCTCCATCCACAAATTCAGTCATGGTTCCTGTTCGGGACATTGTTATCCATCAAGAATTTAACTCTGTTTCGATGAGTCATGACCTCGCGCTTGCGCTGCTGGCCTTCTCTGTGAATTTCTCCTTGTATATCCAGCCTGTGTGCTTACCTGAGAAGCTGGTGGACGTGGACAGTGGAACAGCATGCTGGGTCACTGGATGGGGACGACTGGCACCAAACTGTGAGATTGTCAGGCAGGTTGCTGAGGTGGGGCAGCCTGGTGGCCTGGGGCAGCCTTGCAGCCCCACATGGGAACAGGGAGGCCATGTAGAGGGTGGGTGGGGTGGGGAGCAGATGCTGCAGGGGGTCTTCTGCAGCTGGTTGAGATTCCTGTTGCTGTGCAGGACCTTGGGTGTGGGCGCCGGGTATGGTGGGTTCTCTCCAGGGGGGATTCCAGCTCGGGGGCGAGGGCTGTGTGCCCTATGGAGCTGCCCCTCACTAGAAGTACCTGCGCCGATGGGGTGGGCTGTGTGTCCCCAAGTGGGAGGCCAAGGCAGAGCCACCCTGCCTGTGGGCTGCAGGGCCGCCTCTCCTTAGAGAAAGGCTGGGTGTGGTGCTACCTGTACAAGCACCTAGTGTCTTGTTCTGGAAAGAAGAGATGCTTTGCTGGTGCTCAGAGCTGTCACAGTTAGCACTGATGCTCAGAGTGGCGGTCACTTGGTTGTCCTGTCACAGGCTGGCAGGGCCCTGCCTGGCCCCCTTATGTGTTTTCTTCTGTGTTCTTGCCCCTCCCCCCTTTTTCTTAAAAAAATTTTTTTTAACTTACTTTGAAAGAGTTATAGACAGAGGGAGAGAGAGAGAAATAGAGAGATATCTTCAATCCTCTGGTTCACTCCCCAGATGGCTGAAACAGCTAGGGCTAGACCAGGCGAAGCCAGGAGCCAGGAGCTTCATTCGAGTCTCCCGCATGAGCGGTCTCAAACACTTGGGTCATCTGGTGCTGTTTTCCCTAGGCCGTCAGCAGGGAGCTGGATCATAAATGGATCAGCTAGGACATGAAAAGACGCCCATATGGGGTGTCACTGTCACAGGCTGGGGTGGGGGTGTTATCCATTATGCCACAGTGCTGGCCCTACCCCTCCCCTCTTGATGTTGCACTGGGCCTGGGTTTCCTTCTGAGTCGGATGAGGACCACAGCCCACTGGCCGGCCTGCCTCTGTCAGGTGGTTTGTGTGACCACGTGGTCAGGCCCGAGTGGGTGACCATGTGGTCAGGCCCGAGTGGGTACTGAGAGATGCTCTCCTGACACTAAGTTCTTCCTTGTCTGTCGTCAGCGTGGATGCCATCACCAATGGAGCTTCAGGAGGTGGAGCAAGACATTATTCCCTATAACATCTGTAATGCGCAGTTCCAGAAGGAATTAGGATTGTCAAGCAACATAGTGCGAAAAGGGATGATCTGTGGCTACCGACACAAGGGCAAAAGTCCATGCTGGGTCAGTCCATGTGTGGTTTGCTTATCCCTCTTCCCTACGGCCATGGCCTAGTTGGTGGCATTTCCCCCACTCACCCCTCGGTTAAGGAGAATCATGGTAGAAACCCACTATGTCTCTGGGAATTGCCAGTTGTGTTCCTCCCATAGGGAGCAGCCTTGCTGCCTCAGGGCCCTGTGGGTGGGTGGGCAGTGGGGCGGGCAATGCTGATGCGCACTTGTGTGCAGTGAGATCCTCCAGTGTGGCTGTCACCATGCAGGGTGAGCATTAACCCTGTTACCAGTTAACCCTCGCACAACCCCGCAGCCCAGATGTCAGAAACCGTTGTACCCACATGGAAGGTGAGACCCAGGACAAGGTTCAGGGTCTTCCTGTAGTGTCCATGGGACCCCCAGGCTCGCACGCTGCCCTCGGCCCAGCCACTCTGCGAAGGCAGCACTTGAGCAGGCCTCTAGAAGGGGGGGAATCTGGTTTCTCGGCTAGAGAACGGCCCAGCAGGGACGGGGGATGGTGTGGACAGAGGCTCCGAGTTCTGTGGGAGCCTCTCTTGTCTAGAAAACTTTTTTTTTTTTTGAAGATTTATTTTTTATTTAATTGAAAGGCAGAGGTACACAGACATGAGGACAAACAGAGATCTTCCATCCACTGGTTCACTCCCCAAATGGCCACAATGGCCAGGGCTGGGCCAGGCCAAAGCAAGGAGCCTGGAGCTTCTTTCAGGTTGCCAATGTGGGTGCAGGGGAACAAGGACTTGGGCCATCTTCCAATGCCTTTCCAGCACATTAGCAGGGAGCTGGATCTGAAGTGGAAGGAGCTTGAGTGGAAGTGCAGCGGCCTGATCGAACCCGAGCCCATATGCGATGCTCGCGTCACAGGCAGAGACTTAACCTCCTATGTCACAGTGTATAGGGAAGCTTTTATTTTTACAATTGCAGGCAATGAAGTGGCCAATGAGGCCTGAGGAGGTGGGTTGCGGTGGGAGGTGGTTGCAGCCTGCAGAGCTGAGTGCGGGTTTGCAGTTTCGTTCTGCAGGAAGCACAGGTGGGGCCGGGTAGGCGCGTGCAGGGCGACCTTGCAGAGCAGCGGCTGCCTTAGAGGGGCGCCAGGGGCTGCCGTCCAGGAGCTCGTTGTCATCGTGGCGCAGTGACGGGCAGTGCAGGCTGGGCTGTGCTCCAGGCTGACAGTGGCGGCCTGCGGGGGAGAGGACAGGGTGCGGGAGAGGTGGAGGGAGGCCCTGGTTTTCTCCTGGAGGGGTTTGCCGGTGAGACCGAGGGCCAGCTTTGGGGAGGGACAGGCAGAGTTGTGCTGGAGGAGGGGGCTGGGCAGGGGTCAGGGTCTTGGCGGCAGGGGGGCTGATGTGGGGAGGGTGCGGGGCTCCTGGCTTGGTGGCAGGGAGAGAATGAGGTGGAGGTAAGGGTTAGGCCCTTCCTTGCATGGAGACCTGCAAAATACTGAGCAGCCTTGGAGCCTGAGGATGCCGGTGAGAGTAGGCGCTGCCTGGGAGCCACAGTGGGGTTGGCTCTGCGGTCGTCCACGCTGCGTGGTTACCCCATGAGCGGCAGGGTCGGGGGTTAAAGTAGGGCCCTCAGCGCCACGTTTTGTGTGTTTTGGGGATACCTATGGGTTTGGTGTCTCATGTCTGTGTCCCTGAGCAGCAGGAAGGAGAAGCATTCCTCCCAGGAGTTAGTTTCCCATCAGCCTCAATCTGCTGTTCCTGAATCCTGCTCGTGGAGGGCCCCTGCGGTGTGTGGGGAGGCCCCAGCGTGCCGTGTCCCTGTGCCCGTCAGTGCTGCCGGCCTGCCCGGATGGGGATCCTCCTCCCTCCCTGGAATTGGTGTCTTTTTTCTTTTTCCAGGGTGATTCCGGAGGCCCTCTGGTCTGTGAATTCAACGAGACATGGATTCAGGTGGGGATTGTGAGCTGGGGCATTGCCTGTGGTAAAACTTTCCTTCCTGCAGTTTACACGCAGGTTAGTGAGTACAGAGACTGGATAAAGACCATCTTAAGCCAGGCTCCGTGCGTGCATTCCGTGGGGGTCTGCATGGTGCTCCTGGGCCTGGTGCTGCTGCTGGCCGTGCCGGTGACCCGGTGACCTCCTCTGCCCACTCCCTCCTGCTTCCCAGCCCCCACTTCCGTGCCCCCAGCATCCTCCCCTTCCTTCTCCGTGTCTGCCTCAGACTCTGGGATGCACTGATGCCAGAGCTCCACACGGCAGTGCTGCGGGAGACTGTGGTCTGCAGAGTATCCCCGGCTATTGCTCTGGTCTCTTGCCTCGGCCAGGCCTGATCCAGAGTCCGCTTCCGCCCCCCGTTTGTTACCTGCATGCTCCTGGGAATGATATTTCTGGTGTGAAGGGGGTGCTGAAGGGGTCTCTGCTAGACCAGACGAGCTACCTGGTGTAGCTGAATGACCGATCCACATCGTGCAGAGCGCCTGCTAAAGTCACGCCAGCCTCAGAGCTGGCTGGTTTCAGGGCTCTCACCTGAGACTCAGTCAAACCAGTCAGCTTGGTCATGCTGAGCTCGCAAAGAAGGCATTGTCTGGTTCCTGTCGAGGTGCGACGCCCTGATCTCCATGTCTGGCTCAGTTGTCTGGGGCTGGGGCAGGTTTCCCTGCACCCCCGTGTGGACCCACCTTCCAGTGAAGAGGCTCAGCCACCCCGGCCCTCTCTGCGCAACCTAGTCTGGCACCCTTCCTCAGCGCCCCCATGGCTGCATCCGGGGATGCCCTGCACTGTGGCGAGGCCGTTGTGGAACGTGGAGATCTCAGATGGTAACTGAATAAATGTCGGGAATACGCTCTGTGTGTTCTGAAGCTTTGCTTCCCTGGGGTTGCCTGTGACAGTCTTCGTATTGTTTTCTCAGGTAGGTAAGGAAGTCATTTATGGTTCTTATTAAGCTGTAGATGGACAGGGGTCAGGACAGCCTGCTCAGGCTGCACAGTTACAGAGAAAGAGAGAGAGAGAGAGAGAGAGAGTTTCTATCCAATGGTTCACTTTCCAGATGGCCACGATGGCTGGAGCTGGGCTGATCTGAAGCCAGGAGCCAGGAGTTTCTTCCGGGTCTCTCATGTGGGAGCAGAGGCCCAAGCACTTGGGCTATCTTCCGGTGCTTTCCCAGGCACATTAGCAGGGAGCTGGGTTGGAGGTGGAGCAGCCCAGACTCCAGCCTGCGCCCATGTGGGAGGCCGGCACTGCAGGTGGAGGCTTTACCAGGCCCCAAGGTTAACAATCCTTTTTACTCGAACATCACAGAAAGGTGTTCTTGGTCAGCAGGTAGCTCTTCTCCATGTCTAGCACCATTCCTAGCCCGTGGTTCGGGCTTTGTCTGCCTGCATCCTCCGAGTGCTTAAAACAGTTAATATGCATTTCCAGTAAGTTCCCTGTGCTGCTGGTGTCTGGGGCCCTCCTGTTGAGACCCAAGGCTTTGCAGTAAGAAAGGCACTGGGGGGAGGGAGGGAGGGAGGGAGGGAAGAAGTGGCACTCTGCTCCTCTCATGTCAGCCCCCTCAGCCGGGGAACGTGGTCCCCAGGGGTCAGCGGGACACCCACACTAGACCAGGGAAGCAAGCTTCTTGGTGCTCCCCTCCCAGTATCTAATGCCCAGCGGCTCCGCAGAGAGCGTCCGTCTGCAAAGCAACCTGCTAGAGCCCTCCGCCGGGCCCGTCACCACCTCTCTTCGTTGCTCTGATCTTCTTGGTAGTCGGCGGAAGAAGGCGGCTCTTCCCTTCTCAGCTCGCCTCCTGGGTTTAGCCTTAAATGCAGCTCAAGTATTGCTTCTGTGGCCCAGGCCCGGTCCTGAAAGTTAGGGGAGACTCGGGGTGCTTTCATGGGGCCAACCACCAGGGCAGTCACCACAGTCCCCGGGGCTCCAAGGTCAGCTTTCAGAATCGCGACTGGGAGGTGCACGGGACGCACCCTTGGACGCGCAGGGGAGTCCGCGAGGCATGGCGGCTGCCTGGTCACGTGTGGGCGTGGTCACGTGCTCCGACGCCATCACTTGCGGGCCTCACAGCCGCCACATGCCACCAGCTCCAGGCCTCATGGCCGCCGCGCTGCGCAGTGGGGGTGCTGGGTCTGTAGCCTCGAGGCGCTGGGTCCTCAGCCTCCGGGTCACGCTGCTTCTGCTGCTGCTCTCGCCGCCCCTGAACTCGGGTGAGGAGGGCGACGCCTCAGCTGGGCCTCCTCCCTCTGCCGCGCCGCCCCCAGGACCTGTGTGGCCCACACCCTGGTCGCTGGTCCTCGACTGCGCTCTCCCACTATCTCACCAAGGCTCTAGTCCTCTCCGGCCTCCTCCCCTCAGCCACAGCCGCCCGACTGCCCCCTGGGGACGCGAGCGGACCAGCGCTCCCTGCACACTGCCACTTCCTTGGCCTGCCAGTCCGGACGGCGTGACTACTGGCCCAGCCTCGCCAGTTCCCGTCTCCACTGCAGCCTCTGCCTCAGGCCCTGAGCTTCCCCTGGCAGCCAGGCCCCACTGGAGACCCCACACTGGGGCAAGAAGCTCGGCCCAGGCAAATTCTTCATCTCCATCCCTTAAAGGACCATTCTAAAATTCGGCCTCTTCCCAGAGCCTCTATTCCAACCCAGTTGGCTTCCTAGCAGGGGCCAAGTTGGATCAGAAACTGCAGGCCCTCAGGGTGCCGTGTTCTCCAGCTCTCCGCAACCCGTTGTCCCCTACTTTTCAGGAACCGAAGGGAGCAGGCTGCTGTGCAGGGTCAGCCCACTGCGCGGTGCCCTGGAGTGTGGGACCCTCTCTCATACATCTGGTCTCCCTCCTTCCCTCCCTTGGCTGCAGCCCTTCTCAAAAGAAGGGTTCCACCTGAGCTTCCATTCCCACTTAAATCTTAGCCCTTTCCTTCTGTGTCTCCGCCCTCAGGGGCCTTGGCCTCCCACTACTACTTGCTCTGTCATTATCAGGTTTCCTCTGCCTGAGGGGTGACTCCCTCTCTCCCCTCAGCCCTGCCCTGTCCAGCCCTGCCCTGTTGATATTCCCTAAGGAGCCTGTGGGCGTCTGCTTCTTCTCTTCACTGCTCCGTGGGGGAGGTCACTGGCCCTGGGTGCTGAGCTGCCATTTGTGGGATGGTGCCACATAACCCAGCATGTCTGCGTGTGCAGCCACCTGCCCGTCATCTCCACTCGAACCACTTGGAAACACCTCCTGGGCGTCCACAGCAGAGGTGGTCATCTTCCTACAGACTGGCTTCCCCAACCTGGCCCTCTACCTCAGTGGATGGGAGCCACTCTTCTCCAAAACCAGAAACTGGGATCTCATCCTGAACCCACTCCCGTCCCTAAATCTTCGTGGCTCATCACATCTGTTCTCATACCGCTTCCTTATTCAGACTCCATTCTTGCTGTGGCTCCACAGAGCTTCGGTCAGGAGCTCACTGCCTCCGTCTTACCACCTTCACGATACCGCCTTACCCTCTCGGACCTCGGCTGGCTCGCAGGCTCTCACGTTGGACCCCTGACTCTGCTCCCGTGGTATCATCTCTTGCCGCCATGGCCTTGCCTTTGTCCTCTGGTTCTCTGGCATACACCAGGATGTATGTTTCTTCTTTAAAGGATGTCATGATCACTTTTCATTCCTCTTTAACCTCATCTGTAAGACCTGGCTCAAAAATCTCTTCCGTCTGCCACCTCTATGGGACATACTGGATACCAGCGGCCCTCTTCCTGCATTGATTTGAGATGGTTGTGTGTCTGCACCTGCTCTGATTTGCAGATGATCATGTATTTACATCTGTCTCCTCCTCTGTACAGGGTATGGCAGGCTGTGTCTGATACCCCTCTGGCCTCAGGCTGGGAAGCAAATGGGAGATGAGGAAATATTTAGTGAATGAGTGAATTAACTGATTAAAGAAAAATGTACCTCTCCTCACTGTCATCCTCTCACAAGCTGGTGCTTCGCCTCTGCCCCTGTTTTATCTTCCAGGTTACACAGAGGACAGCACCAGACAAGGTGGGTCAGGTGAGCCCCGGCCGTGGGAGAAGCCTCAGTTGCTGGGAGGATCTGTCCTGAACAGGATCACATAGAGAGTGCTTCTGGGTCTGTGGGAGCAGAGTTAATCTCAGGGTCTGTTTTCTGAAGGACAGCTTGTGGCTGCCAGGACTAGAGACGTTAAGAGTCCAGAGGAGGTGTATCTGGGCCTCCTGTGGGAATGCAAAGCATGTTCAAATTCAGCCCACCCTGCACCCCATGAGCGGATGCCGCAGAGCCTTTCCACGCCTATGGGGCCCTGAACTGTTCAGATGCAGCGGAGCCTCCCAGGTCTGTGGCAGGGTCTGCAGAGCCTGGCTCTTGGGTTGCCTGTTTATCTTTAGACCACAGGGCCGGGTTGCTCCTGTTCTTTGGTTCGTGGCCCTGTGTTGTCACAGGTCCTACCAGGCCCTTACTCGGATGCATTATTGATCGCGTGATTGATTAAGTTAGTCATTCCTGCATCTGTCCATACCCCAATCCTCTTTCCCTTTTCCCTCTCCCACCCCAGCCTTTCTGCTGTGTTCAGTGTGGACCATGCTGTTTGTGTTTTGGTAAGAATGCATGTAGCTGTTTGGTATGCATATGTTTTTAAATGTGTGTAAATTGGGTGTATTCTAAATCTGTTTCCTCTTTCATTCAGCCCCATTAAAACTTTCATTTAGAAATAATTTTAAAAGTACAAAACACTGCAAAAATACAAGTCGTACAAACAACTCATGCACGTATTTTTTTTTTTCCAGAGTCAGTGGGCAGTATGTATAGCATGCCTGTTTATGACTGAATATTTTGATATATATTTTCTGAAAATAGTCTACTAGTCATCTTTAAAAGTTTACACTGATGGAGTCAGCAGGTTAAACTGTTGCTTGTGTTGCCAGCATCCCACATTAGAGTGCTCTTTTGAGTCCTGGGTATTCTGCTTCCACTCCAGCTCCCTGCTGATGAGCTTGAGGAGGCAGCAGAAGATGACTCAAGTACTTGGACCCCTGACACGCCCATGGGAGACCTGGATGGAGTTCCAGGCTCTTGGCTTCAGCCTGGCCCAGCCCTGGTCATCGTGTCCTTTTGGGAAGTGAATCAGTGGATGGAAATAACCTCTCTCTGATATTCTGCTTTCTCAAACAAAAATAAACCTTAAAAAAAAAACTTGGAAAAAAATCCCAAATTTTATGTTAATACCATAATTTTATCTGCTATCCATCTTGGATAATTTAGCCAGCTCCCCAAACTTCTGATGAAGCTGACTATGTTGCCACAGATGTACCAACTCTTGATCCACATTTTCTGTTTGCCAATCTAATAGGTGGAATATGACTAATTGATTTAATTTGGACTTTTTCATCGTTGGTGAGCCTGGGTGCATCTCACTATGCTGGTGGCCTCTTGAGTTTCCTCCACTGATAAAGTGCCTGTGCTATCCTTTCTGTCTTGTCTACTCTTTTTTCTTTTTGATTCCTTAGAGTTCCTTATTATGCCTCCAGTAAAGTATTCCATTGATTTTTGATATTGTGAATGTCACCTTCCAGTCTGTCCTCCATTGACTTTGTTCCAGGGGTCAGAACTCCTTGATTTGCACGTAGCCAAGTCATCAGTTTTTTTTTTTTTTTCCCAAAGAAACCTTTTATTTAACGAGTACCAATTTTATAAGTACAACTTTAGGAATATAGTGATCCTTCCCACAATACCCGTCCTCCCACCCCTACTGTCACCCCACCTCCTCCTCCCTGTCCCATTCCCAGTCCCATTCTCCATTAAGAAAAAAAACAAAACTGTTCCTTGACAGTCAAGACAAGCCCTGTTCAAGTCACTGCTTCTCAAAGTGTCAATTTCACTCCTACAGATTTCCTTTCAGGTGCTCTATTAGCATCACAGATCAGGGAGAACATTTGATATTTGTCCCTTTGGGACTGGCTTATTTCACTAAGTATGATGTTTTCCAGATTCATCAATTTTGTTGCAAATGACCAGTTTTTTTTTTTTTACCGCTGTGTAGTATTCCATAGAGTACATATCCTGTAATTTCTTTATCCAGTCTTCAGTTAATGGGCATTTAGGTTGATTCCATGTCTTAGCTATAGTGAATTGAGCTGCATAAACATGGGGGTGCAGAGAACTCTTTTATTTGCTGATTTCATTTCCTTTGGGTAAATTCCCAGGAGTGGGATGGCTGGCCCATATGGTAGATCTACATTCAGATTTGTGAAGTATCTCCAAACTGATTTCCATAGTGGTTTTACCAGTTTGCATTCCCAGCAACAGTGGATTAGGATACCTTTTTCCCCACATCCTCACCAGCATTTGTTTTTTGTTGATTTCTGTATGAAAGCCATTCTAACTGGGGTGAAGTGAAACCTCATTATGGTTTTTTTTTTTTGATTTATTTATTTATTTGAGATGTAGAATTACAGTGAGCTGGAGAGACAGAGAGAAAGGTCTTCCTTCCATTGGTTCACTCGCCAAATGGCTGCAACAGCCAGAGCTGCACTGATCCGAAGCCAGGAGCCAGGTGCTTCTTCGCAGTTTCCCATGTGGGTGCAGGGCCCCAAGCACTTGGGCCATTTTCTACTACTTTCCCAGGCCGTAGCAGAGAGCTGGATTGGAAGAGGAACAGCCAGGACTAGAACCGGGCACCCATATGGGATGCCAGCACCTCAGGCGGAGGATTAACCTACTGCCCCACAGAGCTAGCCCCTGGGTTGTTTGTTTTGTTGTGGAATTTCTTGATTTGTTTATATATTCTGGTTATTAATCCTTTATCAATTGCATTGTTTGCAAATAATTTCTCCCATTCTGTTGATTGCCTCTTCATTTCCTGAGTGTTTCTTTTGCAGTACAGAAGCTTCTCAAGTTATTGTAATCCCATCTGTTAATTTTGGCTTTGATTGCCTGTGCCTTTGGGATCATTTCCAAGAACTCTTTGCCTGTGCCAATGTCTTGCAAGGTTTCCCCAATGTTCTCTAATAATTTGATGATATTGGGTCGTAGATTTAGGTCTTTAATCCATTTTGAATGGATTTTTGTGTAAGGTGTAAGGTAGGGGTCTTGCTTCATACTTCTGCATATGGAAATCCAGTTTTCCCCACACCATTTGTTGAAGAGACTGTCCTTGATCCAGGGATTAGTTTTACTTCCTTGGTCAAGTGTAAGTTTTTTGTAGATGTTTGATTGATTTCAGGCATTTCTATTCTGTTCCATTGGTCTATCCATCTGTTTTTGTACCAGTATCAGGCTGTTTTGATTATAACTGCCTTGTAGTATGTCTTGAAATCTGGTATTGTGATCCCTCTGGCTTTGTTTTTGTTATATAAGATTGTTTTATCTATTCGGGGTCTCCTGTGTTTCCATATGAATTTCAGCATAATTTTTTCTATATCTGAGAAGAATGCCTTTGGTATTTTGATTGGTATCACATTGAATCTGTAAATTGCTTTCAGAAGAATGGACATTTTGGTGATATTGATTCTTCTAATCCATGAACATGGAAGATTTTTGCATTTTTTGTTTCTTTTTCTATTTCTTTCTTTTATGTTTTATAATTCTCATCATAGAGATCTTTGACATTCTTCGTTAAATTTATTCTAAAATATTTGATTTTTTTTGGTAGCTATTGTGAATGGGATTGATCTTAGAAGTTCTTTCTCAGCTGTGGCAGTGTCTGTGTATACCAAGGCTATTGATTTTTGTGTATTGATTTTATATCTTGCTACTTTACAAAACTCTTCTATGAGTTCCAATAGTCTCTTGGTGGAGTCTTTTGGATTCCCTATATATAGAATCATTTCATCTGCAAATAGGAATAATTTGACTTCCTCTTTCCCAATTTGAATCCCTTTGATTTATTTTTCTTGCCTAATGGCTCTAAAACTTCCAGGACTATACTGAATAGTAATGGCAAAAGTGGGCATCCTTGTCTGATTCTGGATCTCAGTGGGAATGCTTCCAACTTTTCCCCATTCAGTAGGATGCTGGCCATGTGTTTGTCATAAATTGCCTTGATTGTGTTGAGGAATGTTCCTTCTATACCCAATTTGCTTAGAGTTTTCATCATGAAAGGGTATTGTATTTTATCAAATACTTTCTCTGTATCTATTGAGATAATCATATGGTATTTGTTCTTCAGTTTGTTAATATGATGTATCACATTGATTGATTTGCGAATGTTGAGCCACCCTCGCATACCAGGGATAGATCCCACGTGGTCCAGCTGAATTATATTTCTTATATGTTGTTGGATTCAATTGGCCAGAATTTTGTTGGGGATTTTTTCATCTATTTTTATTAGGGAATTTGGTCTGCAGTTCTCTTTCTCTGTTGTGTCTTTTCCGGGTTTAGGAATTAAGGTGATGCTGGGAGGATTCCCTCCCTTTCACTTGTTTTGAATAACTTGAGAAGAAGTGGATTTAGTTTTTAAATGTCTAGTAGAATTCAGCAGTGACTAGCAGGACTAGCCATCTAGTCCTGAGCTTTTTTTAGTTGGGAGGGTCTTTATTATTTATTCAATTTCTGTCTTAATAATATTTAGGTTTTCTGTGTCTTCCTGGCTTAATTTAGGTAGGTTGTATGTGTTCAGGAATCTATCCATTTTTTTCTAGGTTTTCTAGATCCTTGAGATGCATTGATAGCTCATTTATTTGGTTCTTTCCAATTTCTTGATGTAGGCACCAATTTCTATAAGCCTACCTATTAACGCTGCTTTTGCTGTATCCCATAAGTTTTGATGTGTTGTATTGTCATCTTTGTTTGTTTCCAGAAATTTTTTGATTTCTATTTTGATTCCTTCTATGACCAACTGTTCATTCAGGAGCATGTTGTTCAGTCTCCATGTGTTTGCATATGTTCTAGATATTCCTGAGTTGCTGATTTCCAGCTTTATTGCATTGTGGTCTGAGAAGATGCATTAGATATGATTTATTTTTAATTTGCTGAGACTTGTTTTATGGCCTAGCATGTGGTCAATCCTAGAGAAGTTTCCATGCAAAGTTAGAAGA